CCCACGCCCGCTCACAGATACCAGCCCGGTTACCACCTGTCCCGCCAACGGGGGGCACCAGGCCTGTGGGGAATCCTCCCCACCCCACTATCTGCCGGTTAACTCTTGCACCGCCAGGATCCCCCATTGCGACTGGATGGGAGCTGTGCTATTATTAACCCTACAATCCCCCACCCCACTCCTTTATGGTTAACCCTTCCATCACCGCCTCCCCCCTACACACTGATGGGGGGAACATGGAGCTAGTAGTTAACCCTTTCCTTACCCCTGCCCCCCCCATGCCCTGTGCCAGGGAAGGGCCATTTATAGTGCTATACTTTTAACCCTTCCCTTGCCACCGGCCCCCAATGATGGGGGTGCCATGACTTCCCTCCTCAAGCCCCCACCCCCACCCCCAATTGGCAGGTCTAAGTGCTGATGGGTCCTCTGATCCTGGGGAACATTCAAGAGCAGGAGCTGGGATTCCTAAGGGTAGAGGAAGAAAATTTCTGGCCTTGTAAGGGGTTGAGGGCAAAAGATGGTGCCTCCGGCTCCCTGAGGGCACCCAAACTTCCCCCCTCCCATCTGTTCCCCTAGACATCATTCCCCTCCAAGAGCTGGAGGTAGAACCCAGGAGTCCTGGCTCCCAAGCTGCCCCCCTGCTCCAACCACTAGACCCTACTCCCCTGACAAACCAGGGAGAGAACCCAGAAGTCCTGGATCCCAGCCCGCTCCCTACTTTAACCACTAGGCCCCACTCCCTTCCCAGAGCTGGGTCCCATCCAGCATGTACCATCCTCTGTTGGATGCCATGAGAACAGCTCCTCTCTAAGGGTATGTCTACACTGCCACCCTAGTTCGAACTAGGCTGGCAGTGTAGACATACCCTAAGGGTGTCATAGACCCACCATCATGACAACAGATGAAGAGAGTGACTCTCCCTAGCTGGGAGGCACTGCCATGGGGAAGTTTGCAGCGCCAGAGTCTCCCTAGATGGGGACACTGCTGTGGGGAAGTTCGCAGCACCAGAGCCCATGGGGATGCTCACAGATGACCTTCTCAAAAATACCTACATGAGACAGGGGCCAAACACTATCAGCCAAGTCCAGCATCACTGTCATAGCAAAAGCCCTGAGCTCTGGCAGGCCCAGGCAGCAGAAGGTGTCCAAACTCAGCTGTGATGCCAGTTATCCCTCCCCGTGCCCCCCTCAGCCCATCCCTCAATGCCCAGGTATCTATAACCTGTCTCTTTTCTTTCCTCCATCACCTCCCACAGCCCCATTCCTCTTCTCGCCACCTTCCCTTCATTCTCTCATTTCCCCCTCCCCTACTCCCCTTTCCTCCTTCTCTCCGCTGGCAGTTTTCTCCTCCCCTGGCAATATTTGCTCCTTCCTCTTTTCTGCATGGCTGGAGACGGGTCCCCCTCTGCAGCCACATACGCAGCCGCTGTGGCAAAAGAAAAGCAGTCTGAGCACCACCCCCTGCATGCGGAGGTGGCGGAAAGAGAAACGATTCAATGGAGAAAGCATAAAAGAGCATGGAGAACGGAAAAGGAAACTAAAAGGGAAGCTGAAAACGGGCAGCTAACGAAAATCGACAGAGAAGAAGAGCAGCGAAATGAAGCAGGAAAAAGAGAAAGCGTGTGTAGAGGCAGGCAGGAAGCAAAGAAAACTGGAGGCAAGCGATCAAAAGAAAGAAGGAACAAAAAGACAGCGGCGAAAGGAAGCAGGAAAGAGCTGGCGAATGAAAAGAAAAGAAGCACGGAAAGAAAGAATGGAGAAAAGGAAGAGGGGAAAGAACGCAGAGGAAGGACGAATGAAATAAGCAGCACATTGGGAAGTCATGGGGCATCGAAGGAATGGAAAAAAGAACAGAAGAAAATGTGCAAGTGGCAATCAAAAGAGAGAAAGGAACCGACTGAAGGAAAGAAAGAGGGTAGAGGAAGGACAAACCCGAACGAGCAGGGACTTTCATATGGGAATCAAAGGAAAAAGGCAGAGCAAAGAAGGAAAGAGCCTGCAAATGGAAAAGAAACAGGCGGAGCGAGAAGAAGAACGAAGGAAGAAAGCAAACAGGAAAGAAGAGCCAAGCAGAGCCAGGGGCGGCAGCCGGGTTCACAAAGGGCCTTGCTAATGCGTCATGAAAAGAAAGGCCCAAGAAAAGGGCTTCTTTGCACTTTCTTCAGTGGGGGGGGGGGACAAAGAGACAGGGCAGGGCTGTCTGAGGGAAGGCGCTAGCAGCCAGCAGCCGCGGTTGCTTGAGCCGGACCTTGGAGTCTGTATTTCCAACTCCCCTTGACTCATCTCTGGTTTGGGTTGCTTCCAAGGGAAAAAAGTTGCCTGGGCCATTTGCCTGCGTGCAGGGGCAGCCCGTCCATATAGGCGAACTAGGCGGTCGCCTAGGGAGCCAAGTTAAATGGGGCATCAAACGGGGGTGCAATATCATCGAGGGGTTTGGAGGTGGGGACGCCGATTGCTTGGTTCGCCTAGGGCGCCAGTTGCTGGCAGCTAGTCTAGGGCCGCCCCTGCCTGCGTGTCCCCGTTTGCTGCCT